GAGGTTGGTCAGAACTGGTGTTGGTGCAACAGAGTTCTAAGAGGCCTTTATATTAGCGAAATAATTGATGGAAAGCTACTTCAAAAACATATCACGCGTCTAGGTAACGATCTCGCTAATAGAATAATTAAGAGGAATAAATTTTTAATTGATCTATCTCAATCTCTGCTATAAAATATAGCTTTATTTTCAATATAGCCTGGCAAACAAATCGGATAGAGTGGAAGCGATGGATGAATCGGAGTTAATACACGCAATTCAGCTAGACGATCTGGTGAATACATATCAGTGTCCCTGTCGTCTGGTAAGTACAATTTTATTGTGCTTAGCGTATCCCTTCATTTAGGCAAAGCTTTTGCTTAGAAGTGGTTTGCCCTCGTTTTTGTAACTTTAGGGAGATCTAGATGAACGAATCTAGACCAGAGTTGTCTTTTCAAGCATTTGTGATAATTTCCAGCGTTAGATCGGGTACTGAGTAAAAGAACGAGGTCAAACCACTTCTATACAACAAAAGGGAGACCGCGGCAATACTAAAGTTCACATAATCTTGATCTTTAAACCCATTAATTCTTTTGGTCCAGTAGATGAACTAAGACAACCCGAATCACTCTGCCTTTGCCCAATTCATTTCAGAAAAAATATTATTTTGTTTAGAATTAAATTATATAATGTAGTTGTTATTTTGCTCTATCGTTTCTTGGTATCTCTTGCCATTAGTTATAAAAAATGGTGAAGATTTATTGGAGTCCAACATATATACGGTGAGCCATATAGCGAAAGTGCAATATTAAAGGTGCTATTCTTTACAACTTTCTCAATGTTCCCTCAGAGTGCAGAATAACTAGTTACTTCAAGCTTATAGAATGTTTGAATTATAGAATTATTCCCCATGCTCTATAATATATTTAAGCAAAGAAAAGAAGGAAGTGGAAGATTATTATTTTCCCCAAACTAAAATATTCGGGTATTTTGGTGTATTGGATAAGAAATTAGTCGCCCTAGGGGTAGATAAATTGCTAATTGACAAAGTTTTTCCCAGATTGTTAGAAAATCTCTACAATCATTCCTTAAATTGCCGTAAGCTTAAAGAAGTGGGTTGACCTTGAAAGTTCATATTCAAAAATTATTTATAGTCTTGAAATATTATCATTATGAGTATTTTAATATCACCTCTTTCCCATCTATATTTTTCAAGATATTTACTTAAGCTTTATCCAAAATAAGGAGGATTGATAAAATTTTCCAACTAAAATTCAATATGTTCTGGCAGCTACGTACTTTTATATCATACGTACTAAGTGGGATTAGAAGTAAAATTTAAATATTAATGCGATTTACCCGAATTTTATGGCATATCCAGAACGTATGATGGATGCAGCTTTCGTAAATTACTCAGTTATTCTTTAGACAAATTGTCCATAATAACTGGAAGTATAATCAAGAAAACACGGAAAATCCAAAATTTGGGCAAAATTAGAATGATATTCGGAGTGATATTGTTCCTAAACTATCAATAATTTTATGGACATCTGCCTCAAAAATATACTAAGCGACAAATATGATCTAATCATATTATATATACCAGTGAGAGAATCAAGTGTATAGAGCTATTTCATTCTGCTCAGATATGTAATATTATTCTTAAACATATCCTATATAATCTTTACCAGTCCTAGTGTATTGTACTCTGCTCCATTTTATTATGGTATATTTGGCAGATCTATACTATACGCAGCATAATTATGAAATATTGTATTTTAGGAGCGATGTTCAGCTCTTCTCAAATCTGGTACTCGCCTTGACAAATCTATTCGCCTTGGTCTACGTTGGATGTTGGCCTACATATCATTCGAGTTGCCTAACCTGCAACGGCGCATTGAAGAAGATGTTGCGGAACAAATGCAAATTGAAGCACGTGAACGTGAAAGTCGCCGTGAGCGTGTAAGACGGTTGCGTGAAGAACGTGAGCGGCTAACAAGCCATGTTCTAGTAGATCCAGATTCTACGGTAATAGGTACTGGCGATGGTGAAGAAATAAAAAATGAGGAGCCAAAAGCCAAAGAAAAAGAAATCAAAATAGGAGAGAAGGATACAGTAATTGTTGAGGGATCAACTGATGGGTTCAATAACACGTCAACTAACATAGATGATCCGAAAAATAACCACGCGCCTACACCCAATGTTTACTTGAGCAGTATTAGCGAGGGCGGATCGATTGAGGTTTATTTAAATATCTATTTAATATTTTAATGTGCTTAAATAATTATCAATTTAGAGATTTTGATTTTATCTAAAATGTTATCGGACTTGCAATTTCGACACGTACCATCATAGACTGCTTAGCTTTGGCTTCCACCAAACGGATTTAGAAAATACTTGAGTTTAGTTGTTTATAGTTTAGTTATAAATCCATAATTCTGACAATGGGTTATAGCCAATCCAATCTGATGTTAAATAGGAGAAAGATATCTTAAGTTAACTAAGCAGCAGAGAAATGTTACTTATTAAAAGTATACGTTGAATGGGATGAATCCTTGCTAATAATTGTTACCAACTGTGACTAAGTCTCCCTAATATAACCTTATAAATATGTGATCACATACAGAGACAGACACAATCACATGCGCCGATTTTGACATATGACTGGAACTAATCCAATCACTCAGATATTGAGTATATATACAGCTCTTGCCTAATTGTAGGATCCCTTAATTAAAATTAGTTTATTACCCATCCAAGTAGTAGCAGCTAAGGCATGCCCTGACAAATACTTGATGAGTAAAGGTGATTTTCGTACTCCTAAACGAGGGACACATAAAGTATGATAAAAATTGTCTGAATTTTCTGGTAATTCTTCTCGTTACATTGAGCATAAGTTAATAATTTATTCATACAACCTTGATAGTAAGCCGACATCGTAAAAATTCGTTTTATTTTTTAAAGTTAACACTCAAAAAATAAGGTGATTTTGCGCCTATAGAAAGGAATGCTAATATCCATTTTTTGGAGTAAGTTTGACACAATGCTCTACCCTAGTTACTAGGCTACCTTTAACTAAAAAGCAGGATCAACTTGTTATCAAGTACGAAGCATGAATAGTGAACTAGCACTAATTTAAATATCGGTAAGTTTGCATGTAATTACAAGCTAATAATAAATGCCGTTGACTTATCTGTCTTATTTATGGAGTGCTTGGTGTTTAGAATACATTATCGCACATAAAAAGAGTGAATGTGAAGCAGCCTTTCAAAGATCTTTTTACTGTACCTGTCTATGCTAAGTTTATGAAGTTCTAACAAAAAATTATTGCATATCTGTAAGATTTTGTCGTTTTTGCAAGGTATTTCCCTGAAATCACCGGCCCAAAATATCTCGACCTCT